AAGATCGCCTGATTTAAGACACCTTCATCTGTAGGAGATCCTGAATTTTATTTCACAGCGGTGTAGGAAGACTTGGCTTGACGCGCCAAATAAGCCCATCTGTGAATCTAATCCTGGCTTTCCTCTTTTTGCAGGTGATTTCCCTAGATCTCCGCTCAAACCTGTCGGAGGTGAAGAAGCTCAATGGCCACGAGGATGAGTCGGAAGGCAAAAGCGAGGGGGAAGAGGAGCTCCGTTACACCCATATTCTGAACAGGGTGCTACCGTCTGACATCCGGGTGCTGGCCTGGGCCCCCGTGGAACCCGATTTCAGCGCCAGGTTCAGCTGCCTCAAGAGGACCCACCGATACTTCTTCCCCTGCGCCGACCTGGATGTGGCCCTCATGCACGCCGCAGCCCAGAGGTATGTAGGGACCCACGATTTCCGTAACCTGTGTAAAATGGACGTTGCCAACGGGGTGGTAAACTTCCAGAGAACGATCCTCAGTGCTGGAGTGACGTGGGTGGAGAGAGGAGGAGAAACCGGGCTGCAGGATGCCTTCCGTCTGTGCCAGTTTGAAGTGACGGGACAGGCGTTCCTGTATCACCAAGTCCGTTGCATGATGGCCATCCTCTTCCTCATCGGCCAGAGGATGGAGAGTCCGGAGATCATTGATGAGCTGCTGGATGTGGAGAAGAACCCCCGAAAACCACAGTACAGGTACGGAGCACTTGGGAAAACCTCCCCGGCCGCTTCTCGAAGTGATGGCTGTGCATGAGGTGCCGCTGGCAAGCCACTTCTCTGCCAGCCTGCAAAGTGGTTTCTCATGATATGGAAGCAAGCTACCTCTCTGGGAGGTATCCATAAGGACCTCATTTTTCTTGCTCTCGGACAAAATGGCTTTAGTCCTTGGTATTTGGTTAAAACTAATTCAGGTTTTATCAGAAAAAGGTTCTGTAAGAGACAGGGCTGCTCTTGGCAGAAATAACAGGCTGATGCGCTGTTGCGCGAGCGTTTTTTTTTGCCACAACATCCCTCCAGACAGCGACAGGTAACACCTTCTTTCCTTTTCCCTAGCATGGCAGTCGAGTTTCCCCTCGTCCTGTACGACTGCGAGTTCGAAAACCTTCAGTGGCTCTACGACCGAGAAGTGCAGGAGTTCAACGTTACCCACCTACAACAGCTCTGGGCCAACCACGCAGTCAAAACTCAAGTGCTACATAACATGTTACAGGGGTTAGATGCCGCTCCTGTGGCTACTGGAAAAAGTAAGGGATGGTTTTGTGGCAATACCTTGGAATTATGGAGGGATGGGGGCAACTGGTTTAAAAAAATAAAATTAATGAAAGGGGTAATCAGATTGTTGAAACCACTGGTATTTTTTCCAATTCTGTCACAGGCCCAGGGAACAGCACAACCGTCCTCTGGGGAGATACGAAGCCTCCGCTCCGCAGCCAGGTCAGCGGCTTTGTGGAAGGCGTCAAAGCCCGCACTTACAAACCTTTACTGGC